CGGGAAAATACCTGCACGCTTTACGGCGAGGCATTATTAGTGCGTCGTCAGACAGAACAGGAAGTGCTGACTGTTGTTGTTCATTCAAATAATTCAATCAGTTCCAGTCCTGTTCTGAAACAGTACCAGGCTTCACAGTCTGATGTTAATGAACAAAACAAAGTCAAAGGGAGTCACGTGACCTGACATCACACACACACACACACACCTTGACAAACGTCACCGCGACGAACCTCAGCGTCACAGGCAGAACCCTGACGGAACCAGGACCTTTGACCTTTGACCTGGTTCACAGTCAGGTCTCCTCAAGAACTGATGCCGACTAACCTTAACCAAAACCAAAAGACTCAAAGTGAACCAGAGAGAACCTGATTAACCAGAGGAGAGAACCTAAATAACCAGAGGAGATAACCTGATTAACCAGAGATAACCTGATTAACCAGAGGAGAGAACCTAAATAACCAGAGGAGATAACCTGATCAACCAGAGGAGAGAACCTGATTAACCAGAGGAGAGAACCTGATTAACCAGAGGAGAGAACCTAAATAACCAGAGGAGATAACCTGATTAACCGGAGGAGATAACCTGATTAACCGGAGGAGATAACCTAATTAACCAGAGGAGAGAACCTGATTAACCAGAGGAGAGAACCTGATTAACCAGAGGAGATAACCTGATCAACCAGAGGAGATAACCTGATCAACCAGAGGAGAGAACCTGATTAACCAGAGGAGAGAACCTGATTAACCAGAGGAGATAACCTAATTAACCAGAGGAGATAACCTAATTAACCAGAGGAGAGAACCTGATTAACCAGAGGAGATAACCTGATCAACCAGAGGAGAGAACCTGATTAACCAGAGGAGATAACCTGATCAACCAGAGGAGAGAACCTGATTAACCAGAGGAGAGAACCTAAATAACCAGAGGAGATAACCTGATTAACCAGAGATAACCTGATTAACCAGAGGAGATAACCTGATCAACCAGAGGAGAGAACCTGATTAACCAGAGGAGAGAACCTGATTAACCAGAGGAGATAACCTGATTAACCGGAGGAGATAACCTAATTAACCAGAGGAGATAACCTGATTAACCAGAGGAGATAACCTAATTAACCAGAGGAGAGAACCTGATTAACCAGAGGAGATAACCTAATTAACCAGAGGAGATAACCTGATTAACCGGAGGAGATAACCTGATTAACCGGAGGAGATAACCTAATTAACCAGAGGAGAGAACCTGATTAACCAGAGGAGATAACCTGATCAACCAGAGGAGATAACCTGATTAACCGGAGGAGATAACCTGATTAACCAGAGGAGATAACCTGATCAACCAGAGGAGATAACCTGATTAACCAGAGGAGATAACCTGATTAACCAGAGGAGATAACCTGATTAACCGGAGGAGATAACCTAATTAACCAGAGGAGATAACCTAATTAACCAGAGGAGAGAACCTGATTAACCAGAGGAGAGAACCTGATTAACCAGAGGAGATAACCTAATTAACCAGAGGAGAGAACCTGATTAACCAGAGGAGAGAACCTAAATAACCAGAGGAGATAACCTGATTAACCAGAGGAGATAACCTAATTAACCAGAGGAGATAACCTGATTAACTTATTCATTTAAAACACTTCAACCAAAGATTATGAACTGAGATTGAGATTAAGCAGTGAATTTCCACCGTCTTGGTCCTGATCACGTGGTTTCGTTTGTGTCCAACTGCTGACACTGGTCTGAGTCTGTCGTGTCTCTGACGCCCTCTACAGACGGTCTGTTTTACTACAGATCTGAACATGTGACCAGAGTATGTTTCAGTCCCGTTGTGGTTCAGGACCAAATCAAATAAAGTTGATGATGACGTGAGGAAGACTTCATCTTCATCTGCTGTAGGAACAAACTGGAGAAGAAAACAGGAAGTGACATCATCTCTAGTTTATATGGAGTATCGTCCAGTCAGAGAAAATATATTTTCTGTGGTTGTTGACATTTGATTTATTCACTTTAACAAAAACATCTTTTAGTTGGTTCTGCCCCCCCCCCCCCCCCCCCCCCACAGATCCATTCATGCAGACTGGTGTTGTGTAAGAGTTGAACAGACGTGTCCTCACGTCAAGTTCACATCACATCAGGTCAGAGAGAGAGAGAGAGAGAGAGAGAGGTGAAGGCAGCGGAGTTCCCACTGAGCTGCTCTTCACGTTCTGACCTGAGCCTCTGGAATTCACACACAGTTACAGTAAACGTACCTTTGATACCAAGGTTCTGTTGACTGGACCAGTGGGTCCACAGAACCAGGACCACAGAACCAGGACCACAGAACCAGGACCACAGAACCAGGACCACAGAACCAGGACCACAGAACCAGGACCTCCAGGATTCTGGTTTTGATGGTAAATTAAATAAATTTGTATCTTTTTATTTATTCCAAGTCACATGACATTCACGTTAACGTAGATGTGAATATTCACACCACAGAGAAAGTCAACACTGTACTACAGTCAGCCTGCTTGTTATGTAAAGCCACGTGACGTGGTGGGGGGGTGAGCTGGTACAGTACTGTGATGCTGATGCAAAAACACTGGTGTAGCTGCTCCCTCTGCTGGCCAATGTGATTCTTACTCATAGCTCTGTACTGTACTACATTACTGTGTCACGTGTATAAACTATGGTAGAACAAATCAAGAAATATATTTCATAGAAATATTGGCATATATGGCTGTATATATTTGTAGGTTAAATAATCTGGAAACTTTCTGACTAATGGGAACTCCTCAGGGTTAAAGGTCAGGGTCAACGCCATGTTGGACTTCTATAGGTTTATACTAAAAGATGTTGTGGTACTGCAGTACTGTAGTACTGTGGTACTGTAGTACTGTGGTACTGTAGTACTGTGGTACTGCAGTACTGTAGTACAAATGTCCCCGTCTCCGTTTCTCCACCTTCACGCCTCTGCAGCTTCTTAAAGCTCGATGCGAGGCAGGACGGTGCCAGTTTGCAGACCGTGTGCCTCATGTTGTGCCTCACTGGTCCCTGATCTTTCTCTCAGCCTCCAGCCTCTGGTTCAGCCGGCACAGCTGTCGAAGGAAACCGTCGTTTGGTCCAATTTCTCTTTCCTGCCGCACCAGAGCCAGAGCGCAGCGGACGTCCATGTTCTGCCGCAGCATCAGGAAGGCCACGACCAGGGAGGGGGCGCGGCTGTAGCCCTCCCTGCAGTGGACCAACACCCTGCCTGGACACCAAGACCACAACATGGGCCTGTTCAAATGTTACATTTTACATCAGGAAAGGGAGAATAGGAATTGATTACATGGCGCGGATGGCTCCCCCTTGTGGCGAATAGTGGAACTGCATGTCGGCGTGCTTTTACGAAACATTAATATTTGCGGTTTAGAGACTGGAAAAATAAAACCCGAAAACTGAATTTGACTTTATAGAATCCTGTCACAGAACAATTTAAATCACAACCTCGTGAGGTCGAATACAGACATGAACGAGTCCTTCAGTTCATCAGGTACAAAAAGGATGTTCACTTTTTATCTCTGCTTTTTATGATTCTCCACCTGCTGCGCATTTAGTAGATTTAAAACTAGATCAGATTAGATTAGATTAGATTAGATTAGATTAGATTAGATAAACGCCCCTGACTGTCTATCTTGAAGCTAACTAGACGACACCTCCCCAGCTCGGGGTCTGTCCCCCAGCTTGGGGTCCACCCCCACCCCCGGTCTCTCCTCCTCACCTCTCCCACCCCTGTACGTCAACGCCTTCCCGATGAATTCTGCCGCGGCCTCAAAGTAAACGCTGAGGTCGAAGTGGTCGGTGTCACTGGCAGCTATCCCGTGGTAGGTGATGCCCGTGTGGGCGTAGAAGTCAGCGCTGGTGTTGACGTGCATGTGAGAGTTCCCCTCCGCCGCGTTCAGGACGTGGGTGACGCCCAGGCGCTTCAGACGCGGGACGTTTGTGGCCGTGAACCTGAGTGAGTCGGTAAATAATGAGATCAGATCATAACGCCCTGTCATCAAAGTATTATTGTTGTTGTTGTTTTTATTTTAGAGCAAACCGCGGGGACTCACTGGTCACCGACGTAGATCCGGGGGTGGACCTCGTCACAGTGTCGACTGGGCCGACGGTAACAGCCGCTGTCGTCCGTCAACAGGTCGTTGAGCTGCTGCACAGAAACTTCGAAGCTCGACATCATGTGGATCCGGGTCGGAACCAACGGCACCAGCTGACTGTGGCTCGTCTTACATGGCGGGGGAGGGAGAGCTGTTGACAGGCAGGGTTGCCATGTCTGCGATTTATCAGCCGTTCTGTCCCGTTGGTCTGAGGAGTTTCGTTATTTGAGGGGATTTGGATTAAATTCAGTCTAAAGTATTTAGTAGTAAATGTTTACTATTTACTCTTCATTTTTATGTAGTATTTTTATCTTCTTGATATATTTTCATTAAACTGGTTGATTTGATGCAGCAGCTGAATATGATTCACAGAGAGCTAATGTTAGCGAAAAAGGCTAACAATCTTTTTCTGTCCTTTTGCTCTAATTTATATTTATTTGTTTTCTTCTACAGATTTGCTTCATTCAACAACATTTCTGTGCAAGAAAGGATT